GTGTGTCACGTATGTATATGTAATATATATGTATATATATATATATATATATGTATGTATATTATATAAGTGTATAGGCCTACGGAGATTACTTTGATTGTACCTAATTTAGAATTATGCACAGGCCGTACATTACATGTTACATCGATGATTACGCTAGTCGTCTTCGTCGTTTCGATTAATTTCGTTAATTAGTTGCTCGTGTAAAATTCCCATTTTTCGTTAATTGACAAGTTAGTTCAATGCGTTTCTCGCGATATATATATATATATATATCTTTTTCGGTTTTTTCATTTTTTCTGCGTTTTAAATTTTTTTTTTCTTTTCTTTTCGTTTCGTTTTTTCCCGCTGATTTTTGTTGATTTCTCAGTCATCCAAGGTACCCTTGCGCAGTATACGATATATAACATACATCGTTGCGCTCGAAAATTTGGAGCGCGAAATTGTTTAGAATCTTCCCTAAGAAATAATCGAACCCCGAGCAAAGTATTTCATTCGTTCGTGTTTGAATTGAAAAGCGAAAGTACGTCTACACTTCCGCTCAATGAATGGTAAATACAAATGCTTCACGTTACGTGAAGAACGCTCGCGAAACAACTTACGGGTTCAACTGTCATTTAGAAAAGTGAAGTTCGCAGTTACAGCGTGTCCCACAGTCCCCCTTGTAAAATGTACAAAACGATTTGTTTCGCTTGCGAACGGGGAGGGGGGAAAACACCTCTGCTCCAAACTGATCCGAGCAGGAGTGTACCACAAAATTGATTTGTTTCGCCCGTAAGAGGAAGCAAATGGTGCTCCAAAATTCCGAGCCCGAGGGTGGTAACACATACGTATATATATATATATGTGTGTGTGTGTGTGTGTGTGTGTACATGTATATATACATAACAATATATCAAACTATCGGACAAAGTAGGCACACGCATACCAAAGTATTTACACGCTGCCCGCGCGCACACTCGCGCGAGCCAGAGAAGTGGACGTTGCAGCTAAACTTCCGGTATATGCACATCGATAAGTATTCACGCGCGAGTACAGTTCTTTGTACACGACGACAGAACGTTCAATAGAGGAAGAGGAGGAGGAGGAGGAGCAAGGGATCGACGTGTCTACACGCGTAGAAAATTGTAGATGAACAGTAGAAATTCGCCAGACTATCGAGAACGAAAAAGCGAACCTGAGTTTCACGAATCGAGAGTGGAGCAAAAATTTGCGCGTCCGCGTTTGGATATCTCTCTTCTCTTCTAACCAATGAACATTCTAAAGATCGTGTGATTAGTTTCATTTTTTTTTTTTTTTTTTT